TGTGCAATTTGAGACTTGCATAAACGAGGACATGAATCAGTTGTCCAAACATTCTCCACCTCCGTGATGTAATCCAAGATTGTAATGGAGGCTTCCTTCAATTCTCAGCAAACTCATGACACTGCCAGTTGACACACTGCAAGGAAATCTGCTGAGGGGAACACGTGACTCAAACAGGCTTGGGATTGCCAAAGCACCTCTAGGTGACATTAGCATGAAGCATGCAACAGACAGATGGCCTCTGGACAGAAAAAGGTCAACTTCCCAAGTAAAACGCGTTCCCGTGTCATCTGTTGTGTAGGCCACAGAGGAAGAAAATATTAAAGAAGTTTGCCAGCAGTAAGGTTTGCTTTTAACCCCTGCGGACAGCCACTTGTATTGTGGTAACGATAATTCCAGGTTTGGTAACACTAGGCACACAACAAACCCTGAAAAAGTTTACCCCTCAAGAAGTGGCACAGTGATAGAGGGTTTAATTTATTGCGACTACTTCCATTCTGATCTGTTCGCAGTTTGGTTGCTGGCTGCTGCTTTTGGCAAGATTTTTCTTCTAATGCCTTCTTATTAAAAAAAAAAATGTTGTGGCCAGGGGAAATACTAATATGAGCGGTTTTTGCACAAAAGCATAGCATTTCAGAGAGTTTACAGTAAACCTTACTTCAGAAAAGGACTGTCCTTCTATAGAGCACCAAGAGAAGAAGCGTTGGCATTTTTCTCTTGGTCGAACAGCCGCAGACTTGAAAGCTAGCATCCTTTGCCTGAATCCCAAGAGGCTGGAATGGATTTCAGACCAAATGCACAGACTTGTGGGCAAGAACCGTACAGCAGAGTTACTGATGGGGCACGCCTGGGATGCTGAACAGTGTTAAACGATAGGGAGATGTGCAATGGACATCTCCCTGCTGCAGCTGATGGGAGCTGTGCTCGCCTGGCGTTAGAGGGCTGCTGGTGAAACAGCTGTAGCAGAGCAGGGACTGCGGAACGAGGCAGGCTGCAGTTCTAGCCACCCTCGGTCCCATGAGGAACAACCACGCAATGATGTGTAGGTAGCCCTGAGGACACAGACGACTATGGTATCCGGTGCGTCTCTCCAGTACCAGTCTCTAGTTCCCATCACCACCAGTTTCATTACTCTGCCTTGATACAGTTTGATAGGGGCACTAGAGAACTTCCCCGACAGGTGCCTGTAATACTTGCACGTGAGGCAAAGCCGTTTTGTAAGGAAGGCTTACATAGCGCAACCTTGGAGGCACACTGCAGGCCCTCCCATTCAGCGGAAAGAGAGGCAGCCAAAGGTGACTCTGGAAATGGGCGGTGCAGGTGAGGAAGAGCTGCAGCAGAGGGATGGAGGTGGTGCCTGTAAAAATGATGGAAGGAATGAGGGAGGTTCACTCTCTGCAGCAAATTATTGGGGTGTGTCATCAGGGCCTGACTGCGTGGTTGCTGGACTGGCAATCTAAGTCCAGCCAGCAAGCTGTTGAGGTGGCAGGCTGGTATGCGGCCTCAAGCTTTTCAGTTGCTCAATCATGTGCAGGAGTGAGAAGAATACAGGGTCTGGAAGGGCTGCTATGGGCTGGGAATAAGATGAGCAACAGGATAGGCGGGGAAAGCCCAAGCCAAACCAAGAGAGTCAGCTAAAAGTTAAGCCAGACAGAAAGAAAATAAATCCCACTCAGGCCTGAAACTGGACTATTCCTCTCGGACCTGCCTGATCTAGAAAGCTAAAGGCATGATAAACCTCAGGTTGTTGCCGTTAATGCAATTTCAAATTTCTTTTGAGTGCAGTAATGGGTATGTGGAGTCCACATGCTGCAGAGGAAGGAACTGCTTTCAGCTACTACGGCTCCTTAGGTACAGAGGAGCTGGCAGAGAGTAGCTGAAAGATCTGTGGAGAGCCAGAAGTGCGTCCAGCTTGAAGCCTTTCGGGCACTGGAACCCTGCTAATAGGACCTCATTATACAGGTTCATAATTTACAGAAGGTGAGTTTAGAGGATAGGTGCCCCTTTTGTGATGCTCTTACAATATGGAGTAGAGTAGGAGAAAGGGCAGAAAGTGGGATTTGGAGCAAAACATAGCTCTGCTGAGAATGCCTCTGGGCTGAGTCTATCCATGGACTCCAGGAAAAGTTTCTGGAGGATGAAAGGAGACAGGCCAGAGTGTTTCACAGACAGTCCAGAAAGCCTGGAGGGGGAAACAAAGATTTGTCACCATAGATTCTAACTAAGTCACAGCAAGAACAGAAGGAGGCTCCAAGAATTGATTTTTTCCCCCATCTTCCCATGGGGGAAGCCTGTGCTAACAACAAGGCTGTGGCTGGAGTTGCCATTAGCTGTCACCAGTCACCTGGCAGAACAGGTTCCTCTGTGACAACTGGATTACCCACAAGAAGGAGAGAGGAAGTGAAAAGCTAAAGAGAAGCTAATGAGGACCTTGTGACACAGCCCAGTTAACAGCGACGACCAATGATACCCTTCTAACTGGATGACAAAGGGAGGAACAGAAGACCAGGTAGGCCAGGAAAGAACTGTACTGTCCGGGCCCATCCGAAATGTTGACAGACCCATATTGAGGGCTGCATGAGGACTGTTCTGTAGCAATGCCAAAAATGAGTGCTTAAGGCATCTCAGAAGACAGCAGACCAGGCTACTTCTGAGTGCAGCTACAAACACACCAAGCACAAAGAGTGTAAACCCTATCGTGTTTCAAAATAAAAGATGAGCATGGTATTCCATGATGAGTTCAACATGAGCTGCTCTGTGTCACATGGCCAGTCGAGCCCTGACGGCCAGGTTCCCTGTGGCCATAAGGAAATGCAGAGGTGGTCCCTTCCAGCCCTAAATCGCCACAAGTAACTTGACAGATTTTTTTCTTTGGGCTATGTGGTCTTGGTCAAGCTTTTCTTCTTGGGAAGTGAGGATGAGCAAAGCATTGCTTATTTTGCCTGAGTAGGCATGGGGCTTGATTGCATTCCTTTTAGCTGTAGGTCTTTGGCAGGCAGAAATTACATTGCCCATCACAGCATTTCAGAAGCTGGTAGTATAGCTGCCACAGAGAGAGGCCACAAGAGCAGCATGGGCTAGAAGATCTGTAGGGAACAGGGGAAACGGCAGCACAGAAAGTCTCACAGGCAGACTCTACTGTTGCTGCCAGAGCCCACATGTTGGGCCTGGGGCATCTGGGCTCTCCTGCTTTGCACTGCTAGAGCAATCTAGCATGAGTAATGTCAGTCTGTGCTCTGATCACACCTTTGTTTTGCTAAGTGGATGGCCCTCCCCCCCATTACCTCACAGGCTCCCCATTCAGGCGGCTTCGAGAGAGAAGTGCAATGAAAACTGGCAGAACCTGGGCAGAGCTATTTCACCACAGCAGTAGTCTGCCTAATTACTCCTTTGCTGTGGTTGGTGCTTGTCAACAGGAAGATAGTAGAGAAAGTAAGTCAAGGTCAGGAAGTGAGCGTCAAGCCAGGAAAGAGGTAGAGCTATCCTTCCAAATGATTCATCTTTTCCGACAGGAGGAGTGTAGGCCACGCTGTCAGGGGCAGAGCACCTGGACAAACCTTTCCCACCTTGCACCCACTCTCCTCGGTTCCCCATTACAACCCATCTGTTCTGCAGACCGGAGATCAATAGCTAGGTTCCTAGAGGCCACTGCTTGCCAAATGACTTGGCACAGCTGGCCTCCTTTCTCCAGATTGCTGTATGTGCCTATGGAAGAACTCATGGGTTCCCTCTCATGGCATGTCACATATGGGCTTTACTATTGAGGATGATGCAAGGCTGACTTAAGCAATGTTACCTACTAGCTCATTTTAAAATTGGTATAAGATGACAGACAGCAGAAGAACAAAGAAAGTCACTTTTTACAGGAAGATCTCCCTTTCATTTGCTTCATTTCTAGAGCATCAAAGACAGGTCTCAAGTGTAAGGAGAGAGCAAAAGAGTCACTTCAGTCCTCCATGGAGTGACACGTGGGCCCCTGGCTGACTGAGCTGGCAGCTTGTGCAATATGCTAGCCAAGTATGAATTCATCTTACAGACATGGGAAGCTTCTGAAATAACACTCTCGCTTGTGACGTTCCAGGTCCCACCACTCTTCCTTACCAAGATCCTATTGCACAGGTCAAGAGATCACAGGTCTTGTACCCAATGAACATCAAGCAATTCAAGCTGATGCAGACAGCACTAACCTCTGGTACACACAAGGAATTGCAAAGGCGGTGCTTTTTCCTCGAATATTCTTAAAGTACGAGAAGTGACGGGCTTAATATGAACAGTTCAGATGCTGTATGAGTCCTTCTTGTTCACAGGGAGTCACATGGGGTGCAGCTAAATTCAGTGGGCTGTTCTATTACTACTTTAGGCTGACAAAATATCTACGTTAAGTGCTTAAGACTTCCAAACTGGGTGAAGTAGTAGAAAAAAAAATGGCTCCTTGCCCATATTATGACCATTAGGTTACTTTACTTAATTTGCTTCTGATTAACAATTAATATACCTCAAAGTTCCTCCCAATACAGTCACAACAGGCGCAAACACACTGAGAATGAGGGGGAGGATTGCAGTGTTGGCACCTACTCTGTGAGAGCTTTCTTGCTGTCAGCTGGTAGCTTTTCCCATAGCTGCTCCTTCCCTGAGTTGCCATGTATCACCGTGTTCAGTTGCAGAGAATGATCAACTTGTACTTCCATTTCCTTGCCATAATCCAAGCTATATCCAGCACAACATTACTGACCATAAGAACGAGCCGAGATCCATAGCGCTGTCTCCTAGTACGTTTTAGGACAGACTAAGCTAGGAGCTGCATTGCTCCTTTAAGTCTTCCTCAAACAATAGCAGATAATATCTATGTTTACTGGAATGGAGAGGTATTGGTACATATTACTGGAGATAATACGATACTTGTTTTCTCTTGCCCAAATTAAACTACTGGGAATTGAGACATCCTGCTCAGCCATGCCAAGTGTAACTTTCACTTTGAGTAGACCACACAGACATTTTAACTTGGTCTAGAACTTTTATTTCAAGGAGTAAAATTGTTTTCAGCATATTCACAAGAATAAATATAAAATTACTCTTCAGAGTTTGAGCCAGGTAGTACTGGCAAGAAGATGAACCGTTACAAAAATATATCTCTATCCCACAGAGCCACTTATGTAGGATTCTCATTGAGAAATACTATTAAATAAAAAAATAAAACACTGAAAATAAAGTACTTGACCTATACTGATTGGATCACCAAACAATTGAAATTTTTAAGAGAACATAAATATTGTAAATATTGTTAATAAAAATAACATTTAAATAGATGGGAAGCCACCGAGTCCATCCAGATGAACAGAACACTGTATGAAGCCACGGATTCTCCTACAGGGTACCAACTTCCTTGTATTCACTCGTGTTCATTTGTCTCTTCTTGTTTCGGTACCTGGAAGCAGCAGAGAGGCGTGTTAGTTCTGGAAAGCCAGCCATCCCAAATGGCTTTCTGGGGAGTGAGGAGGGGAAAGGAAGACAAAAAACTCTATATGACCTCCTTATGTTTGTTTTAATTCTAGCAGCTAGGCTCTGTCTGCGTTCATTTCTGGGCTCTGGGATGACTTGCATGCAGAGTCTCATTTCTCGACTCTTCACTGAAGACTTCATATCTGCATTAAAGTCTTGCAGGTAGGCTTGTCTTTGGGAAATCCTGCTGGGTCCTTCCCTGCAATAGGGCTGAATACCCTAACAAACTAGGCCATCTTCTGTTGTGAGATGATGCTTCACGGAGTCTTCAGGTAGGGAAAAGGAATTAAGGCAGTTACTGTCTAGCTATCAGATCTGCAAAGCTGAGCTTTCCCCCCTTGCGGGAAAAGAGCCGAGATGTTCCACCTTCTTCTCTCTTTGACAGCAGCTTACAATTAAAGTTATTAGCACAAAGAATGGTTCCTGCTGCTTTTGGGTCTGTTAATGGAGAAAACTGCTGTCTTCTGTGGTAAGGCTGATAAGGAAATGCTAGCAGTATGGCTCAGTCACCACAGTAATATGACAGATAGGCAAGTTACCTAATATTAATCCAATTGCTCTCCAGTTCCTGCTGCCCGGGGAAATGGCATTACCAAGAGAAGGAACTAGTTTTCCTATTCTGTGTCTGCTCTCTCCTTTACCTCGAGATGCCCTCTATGATGGACAACAAGCTAACCTATACAGTCCTCTGACAGGGTCAAAGGGCATCTGAGGGAAGTGTTCCCTAGGCATAATGTAGCCCTCAGTTTGAGCTATGCTACACAGCACACTACTTTTTGGATCACATCACTAACTGCAGGCCAGCAGGCCTGCATATCAAACTGATTTACATGCAATCGAGCGAGCGTGGATATCCCACTCTAACTGGAGGTCCTCAGTGGACATCTTATTACACACAACTGACTTGTCTTCCTGAGCCACGAAGAGAGATCTCTTACCTTTTGCAGATGTAATAGCTTGCAATAGAGAAGGCGGTGAGGAAAAGCAGAATGAGGATTACTGTCAGTGCCACGTACTCCTTACTGAGGGGTTGTCTGACAAGTTCTGAATGCACACATCGGACACCAGAGAAGCCTACGTCGCACCTGAGCAGAAGAGAGGCAGAATTAGAGACACTGCCACAGGGTTACAACTTAGCACTCTTACAGAACTCCTGGAGGCATCCTACCCCCGCTGGCCTGCAGTTTCCCGAGGGACAAGCTACTTGAACTGAGACAGCTAAAGTCCAGATGGTTTCGGAAATGGATGCAAATCCTTCCAGTGAGGAATACACTTGGAAATGCCTACAGGGTCTTTATTTCACAGGCTGAATCAAAGGAGAGGTCTGGCCGCTTTGTCTGAGCTCTGGATCTCACACTATTGTAAACACAGATAACAATGAGAGGTACAACAGAATGAGCGTCCCGTGTTTAAGCTGGATTGACGACTCATTTCAGGTGTCTAAGACTCCCACAAAAGTTTCACTGCAGCCAGCACATACACTTAATACCTGCTTACATCTAGCTGAGGTCTGTTATAGACATACTGCTCCTGTTCAAATCCTTGTGAAAATTCAAATCGTCTCCTGGATTGGTGTTCCAGGTAAGTAGCAGTATCAGTGAGGTCAAAGCCAGTCCGTGTTCATGAAGTCATTTTAACAAGACACATGGCATTCTGTCCGTACCTGCAATAGTGCTCGTCCAAGTCCACTATGTACACACACTGTCCGTGGAAGCAGTAATCCTTCATTTCAGGCTTGCATCTGGTTATCCCAACTTGAGCCACACGTGGACTGTTCTCTGTCTGAACTATAAAGAGATTTGGTTAGCATCTCGTCAGCCTTCTTCTGCCTTTGTGTTTCCCAAACACTGCTCAGGCTTTACAAGTACAGCTAGCAGCCTAGATACCAGCAGATCTCCAGTGCAGTAGACATTGTGGCAGGTAAACCTTTTGAACAGGGAGAGGATTTTCCCAGGCTACGGTTATACTGACTCTTCCCTCAGGAGTTTCCCATAAGCTATTTCTGCTTTTACAGTAGTATTCTCATCTAAGACACAGCTCTTCTGCCGAATAAGCTACATTAATAGGCTAAAAGATGGTTGTTGTGCAACAACAGTGAACACTTTGCAGGATGTTGGAAGCATGGCTCAACAGTAACTTATTCGTACAGTGAAAGTCATGTCCCAGAGCACCTCAGTGAGGACACCAGCCTAAGGAAGATGGGAACCAAAGACTTGTTATTTGCAAAGAGAGCTGTAGAGTATCCTTACTTAGTGCTGTTGTGCAGTTGTCCATTTCACCAGGCCCACATAACGGAATCACGGTTGTGCCCAGGACTGCTTGCAATACATAACCTACAAGAGAATGAAAAGAAGAGTCAAAATGAGATCCGTGTCAAGTATAGCTCTGTATTGCAGCTGGCCTAGTCTTCAAGTTAATAACAGAAGAGCAGAAGCCTTCTACCTTAATACAAAACCTAGTGTAAGCTGAAAAATATATAGATCTCAGAGATCTGCTGCCTCTATCATATAAGGCAACCCAAAGAAATAAGCTCTGAAATGGAAACTCTTAAAAATACAACAGAGTTGGAACAGAAACTCCATGTCTATGACCACCTCTTGTCCATGCTCTGAGTGAGGCTGGGCAGGAACGGGCTTGGACAGGTCGCATAGGTCAGCAGGAGAGGAAGAATTTGGTCCAACTCTGACTGTGTGGTTAGATCCCTATACGGATTCTGATTAGCCTGGCATGGCACCTGCGCAAGGGACTCGGTCACAGTCCCACAATTAGGTATGGCTTCTATTCATTGCAGGAAGAGTTTCTGTGATCAAAATCAAGAACTCCTTGAATCAACAGCAGTCCCAAGGGAAATGATTTCCTGGGACTCAGCAAGTCAGTATGGCTGGCAACTTGGCACCCTGGGTCAGAGCTGAGCCAGGCTCAGTGGCCTGCCACTGGCTTTAGAGACCATGAACAGCTCTGGGAAGGCTTTACATAAAAGCTGCTTGGTCTCAGCCCTCTACTTGCTAGAACTAGTTTAAAAGGCTGGCCAGTTCCTGCATTAATACCCTCTTTTGTCTCGAAGTTATTCAGCTAAATATTCACTTGCCCAGACAGCTGACATGAGGAACCAAGCCCTCTTCATGCAGTCATGGGGTCTAAGAGGTGCTGTCCAGTTTAGAGATCCTGGGCCAGTGTCTCCTGGAGCTGAGATGGGAGACAACAGCTACACTTGTTTCATTCCTAAACCATCCACCATCAAGACCACATCTCAGCAGGTTCGATATGGGTACCAGCAATATTAGGTGACTGCGCCATGCACGATGAAGAGTCTGCCGCCCAGAGCACCAGCTGCATTATGCTGGGGATCAAGGACTCCTCTTCTCCCAGAGATTCAGCTTCTAAAGCATATTTATGTTTTTCAGGGTGTGAGGGAAAACTGGCACAGGCACAGTTTTCAGGCATTCTGCTTGCAGAATGAGCGTTTCCAAACAAGAATTCAAGCCAATCTCAAGTATTTGTAGCTTCATGGCTACCCCTTGAAGAACAGTCAACGTTTGCTCCAGCTGGCCACAGAATCCACTTGGCTAACACTCCTGCTGTGGTCAGAAACTAACCTGCTCATGAACTGTTTAGTCATCAGCCCCATTCCACTGCAGTCTGTAATTTGTGTCTTTGGGCTGTTTGCCTCTATTAACTTGTCAGGTCATGCATGCCTAATGGAGGGAGTGTGCCTTCATAATTTCTTGATCACTCTAATTCAACTCTGGTTATTAGAAAGTTTCATTACATCTCAGTGTTAAATCTAGTAGCGATTTACGGATTTCCTGCAGCTCATCCATTTCTGGATGATTAGTAAGGCTTCCTTTTAGATTTATTCCAGTTAGATACAAGAATGGCAGGAATATCCTTCTTAAAGGGACAGGTTTTGTTTTTTAAGCATGATTCCTTCCCCTTCTCTCCCTCACCACCACATTTCTTGCAAAGCAAATAACCCAGATTTCTATCAAGCTTTAGAAAAAAGGACAAAGCCTAGGTTTGCCAAAGTGAGAGCCATGATAACACAGCAATGATATAGGAATTTTGACTTGTATGAGGAGATCGTAAGTCAGAGACATCTACTTCTGCTCAGATGACTCAGCATGATCTGCCTTTCACTGAGATGGGGCAGGACCAGCAAGTTTACTTTCAGGGTGGGATTTTTCACAGCACTTTGTGTTCACTTACAGATTCTGCCAGGAGCAGCAAACGTACTTCTGTAAGGCCAGTTTGACCCTCATGAGGGAAAGTTCAAGCGCTTGATGGATGAGGCCATCAGCTGACGGACCACTGCAGCTCATTTACTGCTGCACAACTGCAGGCTTTAAGCTTCGGTCAGGGACCAGGTGCCCCAACTGACACTGGACAAAGCAGATTGACTGAGTTGGTCCCTCTTCCCAGGAACTAGAAGAACTTTTCAGGAGCATCCTGCTGACCAAGCTGCTCCCCCAGCAGCAAGCAACTGTAGGATGGGACAGCTCTGACGCATTGTGTAACATGGTGTTTTTGCAAGAAGGGATGCTGCAGTCCTGACATCCGTGACAGTCACTGATGTGAGGCTCCGTCCCTTTCCCTAAATACTGCTGCTGTCACCTCAGTGGACAGGCTATGGCAGAATTTGATGTGAGGCCCACATGACTATAATGAACAGAAATCAAGCCAAAAAACGCTAGATGTTTCTGAGACACCCAATCCTATTGTTCTTAATTAAGTAGATGGAAAAAGGTAAATGTAGCTATCTTTTTGTCCTATACACCTTGGTTTTGGCCTGCATACCTCCTTGGTCTGAGTGTAATTTGAGCAGTTGTTTTCTAGTCTCAAGGTTTTAGTTCAAGAGATACGGGAACAGGGCTTTTGCATTTAAGAAAATCAAGCCCACATACATGTAAGATAGGTCAGCTCTTATCTTTGCTCCAGAAAGAGGGACCGGTTTCCAACTGAACCCGTCCCTAGAGAGGAAATGCCAGAACTCAGACACCTGCATGGGACAGATTAAAATATACCACCTCACACAAAGCAGAACTAAGACTTGCCCCATTACCACCCATGTACAACTGATAGGCTCCTTTGCCTGATGGCAGACACACAGGCCAAATAGAGTAAGACCAAGAGAGCAGGTGTGGATATTTGCTGACACCCAACAGTGTTTTCTGCATTTGGGCAAAGTTCTTCCTGCTCTGCACTGTTATATTTTGCCCTTTCCCCCATGCACATATTCCTCCTCTGACGTCAGTGGGAGGGGGATCCTGTGGGAGGATAAGGGATCCACACTCTGGAACGGCAAGGAGAGCCTTTCCCTGCATGGTTATCAAATGATGTATATCAAACATGGGACCTGGGAGAGGTAGTTAAATTTGTATTCCCTCACTGTTCACTAAGCAAACACTTCACAGAGTACAAGATAACAGTAATGAGATGGTGGATGTTTGTTAATGCCTCACAGGAATGCAAATCCTACACTTATTGCTATATTGCCAGGATGCAAGCGCAATACTGTGTCTGGCATTACAATAGGGCTAACACTGACAGCAGCAGCTGCTTTACTGGAATAGTAATGCTGCTGTTTACTGGTGCTTCCACAAAGAATAGAAGGAAAATAAGGGACAATGACTGGTTGCCTTAGCTTCCTGCAGCCTTCGTCAGAGATGACACACAACTGCTAATTATCAGTTCAGCCATTCAAAGCCAGCTACTGTTTCCAGTTACAGAAAGAGCGTGAAGAATGAAAGACGAGGGATATACATACAGGATATATGTAACTGACCCACTTTAAAGGCCGATGTTGGGGTTTTGTTGTAGTCTGAGAAGTCTCGGGTCCTATCATCATTTGAGTTGGCTTTCCCTTTCCCCAAGATCACTAGTAATATCCTAGTTTACCTCAAGAAGAACCCCTGATGCCAGTTTGCATTTGGCATCTCTGTGGTCCCTCCACTACAGAGGTAGCACCTACATTTCTAACTTCAGTTGTACCTCCCAAGCAATGCCAAGTGCAGAAATATCCAGGTGACATTGTGCCTGGTGAATCGCAGCTGATTTTAAGTCCATGTGGATCCCCATCATCTGATTTCAGACATCCAGGACATGTCTGACTGGCATCATTACTATCACCATTTAACTCTAGTGCATCACCTTCAGGATCTCTCGCTACTAATCTCCCTAGCTAGCCATACAATAGACCACAGAAGCTTGCAGGCCATCTCAGACAAAGCAAGCACCTTCTGGCTATACAAAAGGCTGAGTGGGTGGTTGTGTTATACATCAGGATCACAGAAAGGTAGGGTTGCCTGGGAAAGCCTCACTAATAGCTTGCCTTTATTCAGGATTTGACTGTGCAACTAGCTCCCTTGTTTACATCAACCACAGCATCTATGGAGTTCAGGCCATCCATTTAGAACGAGCATGTTTTCTGGGAAAGGAGGAGTGGCCCTTCAAGGTAATTTTAACTGCCTCAGACAGAACACACCTCCCCATCCTTCCACTTTGGATATAACATCTGGCTTCTGCTTGACGTTTCAGGTAGGAGGTACCTGCTGCCTAGTTCCTTGATTATGCCAAGCAAAGCAGGTGCCTGCCACTCCTGTTCTTGAGGTGAGACATACAAGATGCACAAGTTGCTCTTCTCACCCATGTGAAAGGAGATGCTATTAGTCCTTCCACCCCACCCCCACCCCTCCCCCATCTCTGTGTATTTAGCCTATTCTCTAACTGGAGACACCAGATGTGAGGGTACTGAAAGAGACCCAAATAAGTTACCTTTTAGGCAACAGGACAGAAGCGTCTATACACACTTCTAGGAAAAATATCCAGGTTTTCCCACGTTGCATTCTGTACCCATAACTTCAGAACTGCAGACTCGAAGTCATGGAGGCCCAGGGCCAGGTCAGGCCAGCTCTAAGGTAGCCCTGAAAATACTGGCCTGTAGTGAAAGACTAGCGCTCCGGTATTGCTGTAGACCTGCATGACCATTTTGGGCATTGTGTCAGGACATATCCTTAAGTAGAGACAGAGAGATAATTATGTAGCATGTGCGCTCAGTCACCTCAGTACTGCTTCCAGCCCTAGGGAGACTACCACATCAGTTATCCTATTCACACACTACCCCTGTTCCTATGCCTGAACCACTCTGCTTTCCATCGCATGCATGGGGACTAGCTCCACAGCAGAGGGGAAGAGGTCCCTACACTGCAGGAGAAGCAGAAACCTGTGATTGTTAGTGTCCAGACACATCAGCCACTAAAAAAATCCCGTGTCTCCAGGCTCAGCAACCCTTTGTGTTCAGCCCACTTGCCACTGGCCAGCACAAACCTGACAGAGGAAGCCACAGCTGACAGCTCCCAGCGTGTTTCGGGATCCAAGGCCTGCCTTCCCCACTTAGCAAATTTAAAGCAACTGCTCAGAGACCAGCGCCAGTTCTCACTCCAGGCTCCCTCACTAATCCATGCAAGAGGCAGGACCTGGGTTTGGTTCCATCACCCTCACGTTCTCCCTGTGGCCTGCACAGTGCCACAGCTCCTCAGGGTGAGTGACAGCTCTCTCTCCCCACTGCCTTTCTGCTGCGCAGCCCTCAAGCCCAGGATATGAAGCTGACCATGAGTTTCACCTCAGTTAGGCTTCAGCCATTCCGTGGTGAACCTCTTAAGTCCAGCAAAAGGCCAGCTAGAGAGTCTTCCCAGCTTCTGCCAATAGCATTTAATTCTGCTAAGACTACTAATGTGGAGGAAAAGGAAGAAAAGTGCTTGTATGAGCACTTGTATGACTTGTACCACTATGTATGAGGCCATCTAGTTATGACTAATCGCTATCCCTCACTGTTAAATTTTATATCTACCCCGGAAATAAATAAATCCACATTCAAATCCACAAAGCCCTACCAGTTCCTTTCAGTGCCAGCTTTGTGCAAGTATGTTTGAGTCACAAGCTCCAAGACGTTTAACCCACTGTCCCTGCAAATAAGCTGCTGTGCAGTGCCTGACCCATAATAGCAGATGAGGGAACATCTGCCCCAAAAGAGAGGGCTTGACAACAGTTTCCTCATGGACTGAGACCCTGAAACCAGCACTGCAAACGTGAGAATACCTCTTGTCGCTACAATAGCCTGTGTAAGTGCTCCAGGAGCAGTCCTGGCTTAGATGCTCCCTGCCACACAGTTCAAGTCACCTCAGAGTCAGCTACCAGCAATCACTGTGTGTCATCACCAGCATCCAGCAAAGGTGCAGGGCAAGGATCAGTCATTGCTTCACAGAGTATTCAGACTCCAGGCTTAACCATACATGTGTACACTATGGACTTTCAGGCAGCTTATGTTAATACAATAAAGTAACACACTCCCAGTACGGAGGTGGAGAAGTATCAAGCAAAGGGAGGCCGTGACCTATTTTGTTTCCAGAAGGAAGTCTCTACCGCTGTGGGGATTTACCTGCTGAGCTCACCCAGAGCGTGGTCTCGGTGAGAGCTGCAGGACCGGACTATGGACAGAACAGGACAGTGTGACAGAGAACAGATCCTACTGCCTTGACCAAACAGCACTGCTGGAAAGAAAGTGGATATTCACCTTCATTCAGTTAAGGGTCAAGCCTAAACACTGAACAAGCAATGACATGCCCTAGTACTGCACAACAATCTGAGAGCAAAACCCACGTGGCTCTGGCTCCTCCGGTCATACAGCCGCCCAGGTACACCCATTGCTGCCCATACCTTCATGACAAAGAAGAAATGCGTCACGTTTGCCTGAAGACAAGCTTAGCCCTACCTTTTGTGAAAGGCTTTCCAGCAAGAAGCAAGCCCCCCAAACCCCATGAGTCGGGCTCTGCCTGTGCCCTGCACCACCCCATTAGCTGCTGCATCCCACCCTGGCCCGACCGGGCAGTGGTGGCAGGAAGACCCAGGAGGTCTCGGCAGGGACCTGCTGCCTTCCTGTGCGATGACACTGCCTCGCAGCATCACGGAGTCGTAACTCTCAAGGGGGAACTACGGTGGCACTCACCAAGGAAGAGCAGAAGGCTGCGAGCCCGCATGCAGCCGGTGTCCATGGTCTCTGTGGTGAGGAGGAGAAGGAAAGGGAAGACGTGCGAGAGAAGGCACCCAAACACCCGGCGAGGAGGAGGAGAAGGAAAGGGAAGAAGCGTGCAAGAGGAGGCACCGGGCTGTGGCAGGAGCGGCTGCAGCGCTGTCCCTGTCGCTCTGTGTGCCGGCCGCGCTGCCGCAGCCCTTTATAGGCCGG